CCCCCCTGCCCTGGGCAGCCCATTCCAACGCCCAACAGCCCCTTCTGCACAGAAATCCTTCCTCAGAGCCAGCCTGACCCTGCCCTGGGCAGCTTGAGGCCATTCCCTCGGGGCCTGGCGCTGGCTCCTTGGCTCCAGAGACTCATCCCCCCTCTCTGCCCCCTCCTGGCAGGGAGTTGCAGAGGGCCAGGAGGTCTCCCCTCAGCCTCCTCTTCTCCAGACTGAACCCCCCCAGTTCCCCCAGCCGCTCCCCAGCAGCCGCTGTGCTCCAGACACAACTGAAATCAGAAGGTTTGGAGCAAAGCAGCTTTGAGAAATTACAGTCTGCAGCCTAAAAAAAAATGATTTTATCACTCAATATTCTAGAAGTCTGAGCAGACGTGAAGAGACTGGTTCTCTGAAAGACAGCTTGGTAAACGAAATGTTAAAATTGTTCTTTTGAATGATTCATGAGCTCATTTCCTTGTAAGATCTCCCACTATTGCTGCTCTCCTTTACTCCAGTTTGCAGGACAGCACTGTCCACACCTCATAGCAGAGCTGCCTCACTCGTGGAGTACTAATCACAGCAGAGGCCTGAGACAAGAAGGGCACATTTCCTTCTTTGCCCCTTTCCATACCCTCAGTGATGACACAGTGCCAGTCAACTTTGTCACCTTCCTGTTCTCAGTCCTCCCAGATGACGTGTGAATGTTGGACAAAGCAGGTCCCTGCACAAATCTCTGCAGGACTCCAGTGGTTACCACTTGCCGTGCAGAAAACTGACCATCTGCTCCTACTTTTGCCTCCCAGCTTTTAACCAGCTCTTCACCCATGAGGATATTTCACCATTTTGCATGGTGTGGTGGGTTGACCCTGCCTGGACGCCAGGTGCCCACCAAAGCTGCTCCATCTCTCCCCTCCTCAGCTGGACAGGGGAGAGAAAATATAACAACAGGCTCATGGGTTGAGATAAGGACAGGGAGATCACTCAGCAATTACCATCAGCGGCAAAACAGACTCAACGGGGAAATTAATTTATTACTGATTAAATCAGAGTAGGATAATGAGAAATAAACTCCCAAACACCTTCTCTCGACCCCTCCCTTCTTCCTCTGCTCAACTTCACTCCTGATTTTTCTCTTCCTCCCGCCCCGAGTGGTGCAGGGAATGGGGTTTGTGGTCAGTTCATTTTACAGCTGGTCTCTGCTGCTCCTTCCTCCCCAGGAGAGGACTCCTCACACTCTTCCCCTGTCCCAGCCTGGGGTCCCTCCCGCCGCAGACAATCCTCCAGGAACTTCTCCCACGTGAGTCCTTCCCAGGGGCTGCAGCTCTTCACCAACTGCTCCAGGGTGGCTCCCTCAGGGTCAGACTGCTCCTGCGTGGGTCCCTTCCACGGGGTCATGAGCGCTGCCAGCAAACCTGCTCCAGCCTGGGCTCCTCTCTCCATGGGGCCACAGGTCCTGCCAGGAGCCTGCTCCAGCCTGGGCTTCCCACGGGGCCACCGCCTCCTTCAAGCATCCCCCTGCTCTGCCGTGGGGTCCCCCACGGGCTGCAGGTGGGTCTCTGCTCCCCCGTGGACCTCCACGGGTGCAGGGCACAGCTGCCTCACCGTGGGCTCCAATCTCTGCTCTGGCACCCGGAGCACCTCCTCCTCCTCTCCTTTGCTGACCTGGGTGTCTGCAGGGTTGTTCCTCACATATTCTCACTCCTCTCTCCACCCCTGTTGTTCCATCCCCATTTTTTTTCCTCTCTTTCTTAAATATGTTATCCCAGAGGTGCTACCACCGTTTCTGATGGGCTCAGCCTTGGCCAGCAGCTCTGTCACACACAGGGGAAGCTTCTAGCAGCTTCTCACAGAAGCTACCCCTGTAGCTCCCCTCTTCTGAAACCTTGCCACACAAACCCAATACACCTGGTACAGATATTGGGCTCGCTGGTAAGATTGTTCCCACATCTCCCTGTAACTCCACTGCCAAGGCAGCTTTCAGCAAGAATTCACGCTCAGCTATTGCACCGCTTCACCCTTGAGTTCCTTTGCGTCTCCTGGGTGACGCAGTCCAGATCATGGACCCAACAGTACCAACTCATATTTCCTCCACAACTTTTCCCAGGTGAATGTGAGACCGAGACTCTGGTGGACACCCTAAAAAGAAGGATCCTGAGGCTGGTCTTTTCCAAGACCCTCTATGAGGGACAAAAACGCAGAAACACATTTAGCTTTACTGTGATATCGCCGTTCACTCTAAGGCAGCCTTTGCACTGCAGTTAGCTAACAGATGCTCTGGCAAATATCCCCTTTCACGCATTCGAAGAAGAATTACAAGTCTTTTATGCTTTTTGCCAGCAGTGCCTCAAGCTCTTTTTCCTGCCCTGACATGTTGAGGTTACATGTAACCTCTCAGAGTTCATGAATGTTCCCTTGTTTTTCATTTGGACACGGTGAATTTGTACAGACATAAGAAACCAGTACTGGTGGCTTCTGCACTGTGGTGCTTAACTGTACGTGTCCTTTGCAAGGCTATTCTGGCAGGGAGCATGCATTAGCTCTGAGCCCCCAGCATGGTGTCTTTAAAGGAAACTCTGCAGGTGGAGGGAGATGATTTACTTTTCCATTTCTTTTTAAATAGGCTCCCTTGATTTTATGCAATTCCCCTTTTCAAAACTGTAGGCAAGTGCAGAAGTTTTCTTGTCTTGTGGTGCTCCTACAGGGATGTTAAATCTAAACAAGTAAGAGCAACTCCTTCTAGTGGCCTGTGGACAGTAACACTGAAAAACAGGCTCAGCACACGGCTCAGCAACACACAGATTGTTGCTTCTCCTCCCCTGGGTTCCCTGACAAGCTGCTCTGAGCAGTCATTGACATCACCCAAACACTCGGTTTCAGTATTCAAATATGACATTTACCCAGCTTGCACGGGAGTAATCACCACCATGCTTCCCACTGCTATTTCTCTGCAAAGCTTGCTCTGATTTTTTGTACTGATTAAAAGTAAGGCTGATCCCCCTGGCATGCACACAGTTCCTCAGACAGAAGAAGCAGGGAGGGAAGGAGCAGAATTATAAATTTATACATTCATTCTTACAAGAGAAATTTTGGCTCTTACCTGCAAATGCTATAATTTTCACTATTTGACCACGCTCAATTTTGTGATTCAAAATCCTCTGCTGTTCGTGAGTCAGCTTTACTTCAGAACAGCTACTAAAACCACAAAAAAAAAAAAAACCAAAACAACAAACAGAACAAGGAGTTAAGAAAATAAATCCTCCCACATAAACCAAACAAATCAACTAGCAGCAGAAAGCAACCAATGAATGATTGATCCCATCCCACAAGCAGGAAGGTGGCACTGGAGCAACTTGGTTGAGCAAATGAGAAAAACAGGGAATAAGAACAGATGTGAGATAGCAAAAATAAAAAGTAAACCTTGGGGAAGGTTATATAGAAGAAGATCTACTCAAGGGCCCTTCGTCGTGCTTTAAAAGTAAATTTGGCACCCCGGCTCCTTAGGCTTACTGAAAACAGTGATTTGGGGTTGGGGTGTTTTGTTGCTTTCAAGAGCGTGTACCTTAAATTGCTCTCTGATTTCTCAGCATGTAGAACAGATCCATTGTCCCTGCCTCTCGGGGGAGCTGAGAGCTTTGATTAACATTACGAAAGGCATTCGGTGCTCCCGGCTGCAGCAAAATTGTTTTATTCATCAAGGTCTGAAACCTGTAATCAGCCAACAGTGTGAACCATCTCTTTGCACAGGGTCCTCCCCGATACCACACATAAGGGCAGAAAGCCTTGTTTAAGTATCCTTGACATTTCACAGCTGGCAGTTAGATGACTGCCCCCAGGATGCATCTTTTACTGAACGAGAGAAATCTGCTTAGAAAAAACTTCAAACGGAGGGGTAGAATGAAAGGACTGGGAACACAAGTAGCAGTGAAACCCAACATCTATTTACTTTTTTTTTTTTTTTTTTTTTTTTTTATTGCTGTACTTTGGATCATCGGTGATTTTATTAGATTTTTCTTTGCTAAACCTCTGTGGTGGATGAAAGCACCACTATTCCCCTTCTGTAGGTCAGGACAAGGAAACTAAATGACTCAAACCAGGGGAACTGCAGCAGAAGGGGAACCAAGCCTGGATCTCCACAGATCAGGAAAACGTTTCACTCCTTACTGTCCTTTCTTTCCAGGCAGCAAGCTACCAAGCAATGCTAATTTATAGCAGCTATATATATATAACAGCTAATATATAAGTTATTCAACAGAATCCAGAGGAGAGGAGCCAAATCAATATCCTGTGGCTGGTATCTTGTTTCCTCCTGTGCACAGAAAGCTGCGTTCATAAACGAACAGCCACATTATTTGCACTACAGTAACATCACCAGCAAGCCAATCTCCATTTTGGCTGACTGCAGCTTGCGTTTCTCGGGGAACAGGCTGTTAAAATTAAAGCAGGCACTCTCCCCTCCTTCCAGAGCTCCTTATCCATAGGGAGAGTGGTGATTTGGGAGGGGATCTGGGGGTTACGTGGGCTCTGTGAAAGTTCAGTGGGGCTGGAGTGCACAGACCTGTGTTCCACTGATACACAGACTCATCAGTGAATGATGGCTTAAATTCAGAGCTTGGTAATTCAATTTTTACAGATTTAAGGCCTGATTCTGGTTTTACTCTGAGAATTCAGAGAATATGGAGAATATGGTAAGGAACAGAATAAGGTTTTGTACTAATCTTTATGGATCTTAGGAGTCCTGTCAACCAGCCCCTGCCACGAAGTGTTTGCTCCCTCTCCAAGGTCCAGCACTCCACCAGGGCCCTGTGTACTTAGATCACCTAAAATAGCATTACCTGGACCATAAGTCTTGTCTGCAGCATGATGCCAGCGTCTCCTTTTCCTCTTCTTCTTCTATTGTCTGTGTAGTTACAGAAGCATTTTCCATCAGATACAGGCAGTAGAAAATATTGTAATGGATCCTGGTAGAAAGGACAAAAGAGAAACTCTCATTGAGAAACCATCAATAACAAATTAAATGTCTGCAACAACCTAAAAGACCACTAATATCTTGAATACTTCTAACAGAATGATACACAAAGCCCCAAGCGCTCAGGGAGTTGCAGGAGACGGTATTAATATTTTAAAGTGCAGTTAGTTCTGCCTTGAAAAGTGACTGCAAAGGCACCCCAGGGACAGCTCTGTTTGTGGCCTCTCCCTCACTCCTGCCAGGTTTGTGTTTCAGGGGCTGCCATGCAAACATAACCTGGGATCAGAGTCTACAGGATCTTCTTGCTCTCCTGAACCGCTATTAGCAACCGAGTCTGAGGCAACCCAAGAAAGAATCTGGGGCTAGTTTGGGCAGTGAAGCAGTTTCATCAACTGTCTTGTGATGATTTTATACAAACGTGTTAGCTCTGACAATACTTCATGGTGCTTTGTTACTGCACAGCAACTCTGAGGCTTTAATTACACCAGCAACACCTGTTTTAAAATTAAACTCCATTGTACAGCAGGGTTGACACCACTGTGGTTTCATCGCTTTTAGTGCAGCTTTGTTCCTGTTCCTGCCACCCCAGGCCACACTCCAGGACAGACTTCATGTCCCATATTAGGTGACCTGCACGCTCAGGCAGGAGCTGCAATAGGTATCAGGCAGTTTGTCAAGGACAGGTTTCCTCCTTCTGCCCTAAATTACAAACCTTGCAGGATTTGAAGAGATAATGGCAGAAGAGACGTGGTCATTCCTATTTCTTCTGGTCTAGATTGTTCAAGGAGGTGGAGGTGGGACGTGGGTAACTTTGACCGTGAGCTCTCATTGTTAGCAAGTGACAGTCTCTCTGCCACATCTTCAGCAGGCGTTTACTCAAGTTAATGACCTTAGCCAGCAATTATCAATCACTAACAGGGCTAACATTGATTTCCTGGTTGGTGGCCTGAGCACATGGCCCATGGGATAAGTAAGCAGAGGATGAACTCTTCTCCTGTGTCTAGCACAGGCTGGACTACACCCCACAGAGGGCAGCTTACAGAATCAACTTATTTCTAGTTATAGATTCATTTTCCACTGCAGTTCTCTTCCAGTCTCCTCATAAGAAGAATTTACACCTGTCCTTAACCCTTATCTCATCCTCACTGAAATTCTGAAGCAACCTGTGGGCTCTTACCTGAATTACCAGGCACCTCTGTGACCAAAAGGCACAGGATGAATCACAACGCACGTGCATCGGGAGGCCACGGGACTTGGAATATCATTTCAGAGGGCTGAAGTAAATAACCGGTCTCAGGAAGTTAATAACCAGATTAAATTGTTGCAGCTGATGTGTATCTATTTCTAATCAGAAAGTTTCTATAGTTGCTTTAAAACCTGCTTTCGTTGCTGAGAAAAATTACTTTTCTTGAACGCTATCTCCTGAAAAACGAGCGGACTATGAAACAATCTAGGAATTAAAGCAAATCTAAAGGCAATGCTCCTGAATGTTCTGGCAAAAAGCTAGGGAAGTGCACTCTGTTCCTGATAAACTGCACACAATGAGGAACTGGAGGGCCCTAAACAGCAGGGACACAATTGCTCGTGAGCAAATATTCACTGTATATATTACATATTGTCATGGATAGAAAGAGGCAGGCAGGAAGCATCTCCCCACTCCCTACCTGTTAGTGATCTTAATGTTCCTCTCTGTCATGGCGTAGAGAAGTGTTGCTATGCAGTAGAGTGCTTCTGTCACGTCCACAACAGAGAGGGTAGAGGAAGGTCTCTGCAGACACACCATCAGCTTTTGGATGTCGCTGACGCCGTCGGAGAAAAGCAACATGACTGCAATTATGGCCCACATGTTCTCAGGCTGGTAGAGGCAACAAGAAGAGAGTGAGGAAAAAGCTTTGAGCCCTTAGGAGCAGGGAAACCCTTCTTCAACACTGAAAAAACATGGTGAACAGTTAAATCCTCTTCAGTCACTCTGAATAGTATCAAATAACACCTCTAAGAGAAAATCTGTAGAAGCAGGAGGGCAGATATGATCTCGAAGCACCAGCAGTTGTTAAACCTGTTCAATAAACCAATTAATAACTGTTAAACCTACCCCTGGGCTGCTCTGTAAACGTGGCAGTTTGTTGACCACGCAGACTTCAGCCTTTGAGAAGAGGTGGTGACTCTTCAAACACTGGAGAACCACGCTGGGATCTACTGTCCGTCTGGTGGGTATGGTAGACACGTACCTGCACAGAACGGGAACAGCAGCATTTTTTACTTACTCTCCAAGTAAATAATGCCTTCTCCACACTACCATCAGCCAGGCTGCAGCAAGTTTAAACTATGCCTTGCTGTGTGCCCCACAGATTTGACCAGATGCATCCAGCAGCGAGACCCCAAGGTGCTGAACTTTGGATTTCCAACCCATTCTTGTGCTGAGAGCCATTTAGACAAGTAATTCCCAGTTCTGTTACACAGACATGTGCTTAAATACTTTCCTGCATCAAGCCCTTAGTCTGCAAGTTCCTTCTGACTGTCTCAAAGTCTCCTTCCAGAAGACGGGTCCACCTCATTCCTAACTCAATTTGACTCTTCCATTTGCACTATCTAACTGCCATACAAAACTGCTCTCTAGACTACAGAGATCTGAACAGAACACTTGCTTTTATCAGGGATCTTGGGCTGGGCTTGCTGCTGAGCTGTGATAAGTCATTGCGGGTCCAGCAGAGCAGCCTTTCAGGAAAGGAAAAGAAGAAAATATGTTGGAGATGGGGGGGTGGGGGGAACCAGAAAGAAGAATTCAAGTCTCACACCATCCATGAGATACTCGTATTTGAGCTAAACCCAGATGATGCTGAGTCTCTCTCAGATCCCAGGTGATCAGGAGATGGGAAAACAGTGCTGATGTGACAGATCCTGAAATGTAAATGGATGCTAAAAGGGACACTTAAACCGAATCTCACTCTCTCCAGCATGGTCACCCTGCAAGAAGTAACCATATAACATCTCCCAAGCTTGTTGTCAGGTGCCAGAAGGCAGCAAGCAACAGGACAGCCCAGGGTTTTTTTTATTTTGTCATCTAATGCCTGTCCTGGAGCTCCTGGCAGCTCCTCTCAGTTGCTGTACTCTGACATACAGATCCATCTCCAAAACCTTCATTTGAGCTTCCAAATCCAGCAGCTGCTTGCTGACACCCTCTTGCTCAGGCTCTCCTCACCTCTTTCCTGCTTTGGTGCAACAAGCATCTCCCTGCCCTCCAAGAGGCAACACCATCCAAGTCAAAAGACCACCACCAAGACTGTTCTTCTGTCCCCTCTTCCCAGTGCATGTTCAGCTTCTCCATCTCCTCAGAGAGCAGTACAAGGCTGTCCCTGTCCCGGGCTTTGCAGCCTCTGCCTCACTTATCCATCACTTCTCACTTGCTATCAAATTCACAGAAACTGCAGAAGGGACTCTGGGAGCCAACTGCTCAAAGCAGAGACGACTTCAAGGTTTGGTCATTTGTTCAGCTGAGGTCTGAGCATCAAAGAGGGAGATTCTCCACCTCTCTGGGCCACTTTGACCACTCTCCTAATATCTAACTGGATTTCCTAGGCTGGAACTTGTGCCCATTGTCTCTTGGCCTCTCTTGACCACTACACCTCCAAGAATATCCTGGCATCATGCTCTGTACATCCCTTCATAAGGAGGGGAAGACATCCATTAGATCCCCTTTCCACTTTCTCTTCTTCAGATTTCATCCTCTACTTGTACATCACCTCAAATACTGGGTTCAGTTCTGGGCCCCTCACCCCAAAAAGGCCATTGAATGACTCGAGCGTGGCCAGAGAAGGGCAATGGAGCTGGGGCAGGGTCTGGAGCACAGGTCTGCTGGGGAGCGGCTGGGGGAACTGGGGGGGTTCAGTCTGGAGAAGAGGAGGCTGAGGGGAGACCTCCTGGCCCTCTGCAACTCCCTGCCAGGAGGGGGCAGAGAGGGGGGATGAGTCTCTGGAGCCAAGGAGCCAGCGCCAGGCCCCGAGGGAATGGCCTCAAGCTGCCCAGGGCAGGGTCAGGCTGGCTCTGAGGAAGGATTTCTGTGCAGAAGGGGCTGTTGGGCGTTGGAATGGGCTGCCCAGGGCAGGGGGGGAGTCCCCGGGATCCCTGGAGGGGTTTAAAAGACTGTAGATGTGGCATTTGGGGACATGGTTTAGTGCTGGACTTGGCAGCATTAGGTTTACGGTTGGACTCAATGATCTTAAAGTTCTTTCCCAAGCTAAATGATTCTATGATCATGTGCTCCAAACAGAACAAGGAGGGGAGAAGGGCAAGTTTTTTACCTCCTTCTAGAACCCTACTAATGATTTCTACTGTTAAAATAATTTCTTCTTTCTCATCTTCCTGTACATCTCCTGCCTGTTTAAAAGACAAACCCATTTCTCTCCTGGTGATTCACAGGATAAAATGGAAGACCCAAAGTAAGGAAGGTCTGAGGATCTACAGGTACAAAGTCAGGTCTGGAAGTGGACTCACCTGATCAGCCCAAAAATACATCCTTCCTGCTCCTCTGTTATGACAAAATCCTGCAAGACCTGTTCAACTCTGCGCAGGGCTGTGTCCTCCTTCATTAGGTACTGATGGTACAGCTTCTTCCAAGGAATGAACTAGAATGTGAAGCACATACCACCATCTTTTATCTCACAGCACTGAAAAACATGTTTCTTCTGGCAATAAGCTAACCAACGTGACTTCCAAAGAAGACATGGAGTTCAAAAAGCCACTGCAGCTTGATGGAAACAGGTGCCTGGCACAAGATGGGGAAAGAAGGAGGAAACAGGGGAAAGAGAGAAAGCCTGCAAGCATGTCTATAAATGGTTGGTTTTTCTAGACTGATGGAAACAGGGTGATTCTGGTTTAGTTTCAAATGTCAAAGCATTAAAGGAATGGGGCTATTTTCAGCACTAATGCACAGATCTGCTCTGAGCAGGGTCTGAGTGCTTAAAATCCACATGTCCATGAAGGCCTAACCTCCCACAGCCTGCTGTTTGGACTTCTTTGGTAAAAACAGACAGTGTGCTGCTTTTTAGGCTGTGTTACGGGGTGAAGAGCAGATCTGGGAGATGACTTGAGCATGCTGAGCATTTAATCTACGCATTTTCTACACATCCTTCTAGCTCTTCAGGCTCAAAGCACGCACCTCCTGCATTGTGTCCAGCCTTACCCGTCCAAATTTATTGGAAGGGCATGAACAAGAACTTGAACCCCTGCAAAAATGTGGGCTGCGATCAGCCCCCCACCACTCAGAGTCAGGCTGAAGCAGCCTCTCTGTACAAGCTGAGTGTTTCCAGTGTGAACAGCGAGCAAGTCAAGCGGTGCCAGTTGTCTCTGAGCCACCTTTAACCGAAATGCAGAGATCCTTGCTGCGGCCAAAACAACTGCCAGTGGGTTCACGACTGTTTGCACTGTGAGGGCCTTGACTGCAGATGAACCCAGCACTGTCCAAACAGAGTTAAAGTCCTCTCTAAACTCATTTGACTACAAGAGGCACAACACATACAGAGACACACACTCAGTGATGTACATTGGCCACGAGAGGACACTGCCCAGTCTGGTAGCCAGAATTTCCTGCATGTTGGAAAAAAAAAAATGCTGCAAGGAAAACAGTGAAAGGAGATTTTGTGGAGTCTTACAGGATGCTCTTTCCATGTATGGGAAGAATGCATCAAGGGAAGTTATTCCAATATTGATCTCTGATACAGGTTGGCATCTAAAGATGCCACTGTAGTCCAGAAGACCAAAAAATTACAAAAGACCTCATAAGAGAGGATTGTGGGCAATAGAGAACAATAAAGGGATTTAAAGGAACAAAGAGAGACAGACACAGCATGGATAGCCCTACAGCAACACTTGCAGCCACAAGGCTAGGACAGAACAGAGCAGTTTGAGAAGGGACAGGCTCAAATTAACATCACAGCAGTCCTTACCAGTGGATCACTGACAATGTCTCTCCAGCGGCGGCACACCAGGCTCAGGTTCTGGTATAGATCCATCACTGGTAGTAAAGCAAAGATGTTCCTGAGGACTTCAACAGGCAGCTTGTCAATACTTCCCTGGGGTACTTCCCACTTCCGAGTCCCCAGGAGTCCATAGTGTGCATCAGGGACCGGTTCGATTTCCATATCATCGAGTTCCTGCTTGATCTGGCTGCGTTCTGGATGAACCACCACTGGCTTCTTCTCAGGCTCACCCCACAAATCATGCTCTGTCTTAACGCCTGCGGCTGCAGCGGACAGAGGCTGTTTTCGGGAGCTTTTCCCGGGAGTTGGTACAAGGTCCTCGTCCTCCAGAAAGGAGGAATCGCCACTGATCTCCATTACAGTGGAGACGCTGCTGAAGGAATCATCAGGCTCACTGAAGATGGGATCCAGTAGCTCTTCTTTGATTCTGCTGGGTTTCGTCCCACCGGGACCTACTTCTTGTGTCTGAGAGATCTTGAAGTAATCAGTGATGTTCGTCTGCTGACCTTGGCCTGCAAAAAAGAGCATGAGTGAAGTCAACAGAAACAAATGCAAAGTCGCCAACTGAGCTAACAAAGAAACTAGAGGTTGTGCAAGGTGGTAGTTAATTCCACAGGTTCCTCACAGATGTAGGAGCTTACTACAGGTGAACTGTCCTTCACATTGCTTCTCTGGCAACCTACAGAAGTCAACAGAACAACATTCATCTCTTCGCACTGTCCACATAATCTGGGCACTGTCAAAGTATGTCTGACACCTCCACTAGCTTCTAGAAAAAGATATGGTCTGTATAACAGTCTCTCAGATGAACAACCCTTAGCTAACATAACACAGCGGATGCCTGTTAAACAGAAATGCAGCTGCACAATAAATTCCACGGGAGGTACTTCCACTAGCCAAAGAAAGAGAAATAGGAAGGAAACAAAATGCGAGACTTGCGTTGTTGTGGTGTGACTCAGACCAAGGTTGGGCTCCCACTAGTTATTTATTGTTCTTAACCCAGTGAATGAGAAACACACTAAGATTTGAGAAGAGCTTCAGGGTTTAATTACTGCTCTTCATCACGAGAAGGTCACAGCATGAAGTCTCTAGCAGGCTGCTCCTACCACAGTATAAGAGAAACCAACACCTTTAAGAGGATAAACAGCCATTTCTGGGCAGATTCTTCGTGGGGGCAATGTCAAAAAGCAGCAGAGACCATAAAGGAAACGAAACTTGGCAAAAGATTGCTCTCAGCAGCCTCTCCTTTCCTGACTGCCACAGTTCATGTAGCACACAGACTAAGTTTACCAGCGCTGACAGTATTCATTCTGTCCAGCTCCTAGTCTGCAACATATCTTGATGCTCTTAGCTAAGAGGCAACTCAAGAAGAACAAAATCACAAGCAGCTACTGCTGATTTTAACACATTTTCTTTCTGGATGCTCGTGAAGGCATAGCTTAAAGAGGTCTGATTTGCAAGACACTTTCTGCTTAAAAAAAAAAGCTTCCCTGCTAACGCTCGAGTCCAATATCCTAGAACCTGCAGCATCTAAGATTACTAGATTTTTTTATAGTGAGATAGTCAAAGATACCGCTGATATGAAAATGGGAAAGTATGTCTACGAGCACAGAGTCTGGGACTCTGGTGTCTTGTCCTGGCTCATCAGCAGACGTTTTCTGTGAAGCGAGTCAGCTTACACCAAGGTACAGAGAGATTCCCAAGTCTCCCAGGGAAACACCAAAATGCTCCTGAGTCTCACTTTCCACAGTGATCAAGGCACTCATGGGCTCAGGAATAATCCCGGATGTTTTTACCTTGCTTTATACCCGTCTCCTTGCCCACACCTGTGTAGTGTCATTTGTCGTTACATGGGTTTTAAGGCTCAGTCTTTAACCCTGCACCATGAGCAACATGAAAACAGCTTTCTCACCTTTAGTTTGAGCTCTGGGCCCTGTTGTCTGAATCCTCAAAAGCACTCTAAGGCTTTGGCGCTTTTGAGACCCACATCTACGAGTTGTGTACCACAATGTTTCCCACTCCTAGGGAAGTCGAAGAGCATTAATATCTGCTAAGTGCTCAACAACATTTTTGCAGTCTTATATAACTAGACAGCTCTTTATTATTTAATAATTATCCTAAAGAGCATCTAGAAGCAGGAGTCACATCATTAATAGTCCCTAATTGCAGAAGCTGTAGTGTTCCTCAGGGAGAGCTGCTGTTTTCCCCAGGTAGTCTCAGACAGCTCAGCGACAGAGACACAGAGGCATTTCTGGTGTGAGGAGAGACTAAACACACATGTGAAGCCAAACCCACTTCCCTGTAGAGGGAAATAGTCAAGGTATCTGTTTTTCTTGCCACTTGGCTTTGTGGAGGCAGAGATTAAGCCCAGTTTTGCCACGCACCACTCAAAATCAACCAATTTCCCTTTTGTTCCACACCACAATTAGCTTTTTTTTCCCCCCAAATCCCTCAACCTTTAAAGTATTTGTAATCAGTGTACCTCCTCGCTGTCTCCGTCTCCGGGGGGTGGGATGGAGGCCCTGGTTTACATCTCCTCTACTTTGTCTTTGACTCAACGGCTGCGTCAGGGAGGATGAACCTTCTGCACTCCGTGCCAGAGCTTCACAGTCATCGGCTGTCAGGTGCGTTTTTTTGAATCGCTTTGCCACTTTGCCAACACACACACACACACACAAAAAAAGACCCCCCAAACCAAACGTTAGCAAACGACAATGTACAATCCATGCCTTTAACAGAGGGATAAATACAGTTTCTTTTCAGAAATTTTATAGGACAGTCCCAGTGTTTCAGCCAGGAGTTTCTCTGAGGAAATCACAGCAGAAAGTGATAGAATTCTCTGGTGAGGCACTAAGGAGGGCAACACATCGTGTCAAAGCAACACATCTGCAGTCACTTCAACAGCAACTGCACCCCGCGTCCCCACTCCTCTGCTGTACAAGGCTTTGGACCCAAAGAGAATGATGTAAAATCAGAATCCGTGCAAGTTTTGTGGCTTTACAATACTGCAACAAGGAGAAAGCAGATAAAATCATCCGTATAAATGCAAACTAGCATTAGGAGGATGCCAAGGAAGCTGAACTGTGCAACCCCCTGTGAGAGATGATATTGATTTGCCCAGGCAATGTCCGAACCAGCACTCAAACACACAAACTCTTGCAAACAGATCCTCCATTAAAGGAGAAAACCCAACCCACTCACACCACAGCTCTTTCCTGCGAGAAGGACGTTTCAGAAGCAGCACAAAAGTAGATGACGAGTTAAGAAAACCTTACTTGAAAACTCCACGAGTTCCTCTCTCCTTACACAGGGCAGCTAGCAGAAAAATTAGGAGCAAGGCAACTTGTTTCTACCGAAAATGCTCAAGAGAAATCTGATACCACAGCGCAGAATGGGCTTCGTTCTGATAGGGTATCAGCAAAACACTGCTCGTGCAGTTTCACTTTTATTTTATTACCGCACCATGCTGCGGAGGATAAACTCCCCTAACATGTTTATGGCAGCCACAAAAGTAATCATCTGGTCTTTTACAACAGGATCCAAGGGTCAGTTCTGATTCCTTATACTGCTTCCTCCTTTGCATCCACATTAGCTTGACAGAGCGATGTTAAAAGCACCCACTGAGCTCCCCAGGGAGGCTGTTTTCTAACATCCCATGTTTCTAAAAATACAGCAAATGGGGCAAGCGGAAGAAAAAAAGAAATGCCTGACAATCCTGTGACACTTAGGGACGGGGTTTAGTCATGGACTTGTCAGGGTTAGGTTTACAGTTGGGCTCAATGATCTTAAGGGTGTTTTTCAACCTAAATGATTCTATGATTCAACTTAAAAATGCTATTTCTGACTTCAGATTGAAATGCTTTTTGGATTAAACAGCACAAATCATTGAAGCTCCCCAGTTCTCTTGAGCACACAATGCCAGCAAATGTTAGAGCTGAGGTACCAGCTCTGTGCCCATTCCTGAAGCTGTCAGACACGGAAAGGTCTCACGTGAGATCAGGTGTAGGATTGGGGGCAAAACCTCTGCTCCCCCACCCCAGGACAGAAAAACCCCCGATGTGCCAGGACTGTGGCACAGGGTTCAAATCCAGAAACCCAACACAAGAAGATAACCCGCTCAGGCTTCAACTGCATTCATCTCTTCTCCTTTTTCCCAAGATTTTCAATTGGTGACAGTGACAGATACAAAAGTGCTGAGCAAAGGTTGTGTTACAGAGCCCCGCCACGGTTTATGGCTTCGATCACATAAGGAACATGATGGGGAGTGGAGCTCATCAGCCATGAGAAGACATTCCAGATATGAGGCGAAAGGATCAGCCCTGAGCAGCAGCCACAGAGGCTGGGGGAAGCTCCAGGGGAATGAGAAATATTCGGGAGGAGAAGGTTGGAGCTGCTCCCCGTCCCACCCAGCATCTTGTTTCCAAACCTTTACCCCACATGGATGCACTGACCTTGTGCCCCTCAGCCTGGTGCCCACACAGGGAAGCCCCCAGCAGCTCAGGGCCCCCCCGGGGCTAATACACACTGGCCCAGAATGGCCCCTCCATTGCCAGCCCCTGCCCCAGGCCTGCTGCCTCCATAGCCAAGGACCTTCCTCCTCTGTGCCCCACATTGTCAAAGCCCCCCCACTGCCAAGGGAACCCCCATTGCCAATCCCCTCCCCTATTACCAAGCGCCCTCTCATTGCCAAGGTTTGTCCCCCCCCAATGCCAAGAAGCTCCTTCTATTACCGAGTTCCCTCTCACTGCCAAGAGTCCCCTCATTGCCAAGCCCCCCCCCCAGTACCAAGAGTTCCCCAATGCCAAGGGCCTACCCCAATACCCAGAAACC